GCATCTCCAATAGGGCCTTCTGAGAAGATTCCGGGGTAGAATAGGGCTTCAGCAACCTATGCTTGCCATAAAATGTGACTATGCATGTCGTAAAAGGCGACTAACGGGATCGGGTGGTCAGGTTCGCTGACTTGTTGAATGCATGTCATCGATCCCAATTACCTGGATCGATGCTCATGATGTCAATCACTGGATTGTCTGGTCCAGACTCGATTATTTACAGACCGCCATCATATAGCTGGAATATTGCTGAGTGCGGCGTTGAACAACAATCCAACCAACCAACCAACCAACCAATAGGGCCTTCTGAGAAGAGTGGAGTTGTTACTATGAGATGGGCTTTCTAGGCTCTGGGTATCCTGGTATTGAGAAACAAAGGACATGCAGGGCTTCACAAGAACTAGGTTCCCCAAGAGAATAGGACGATGGTGCTGCCTGACAGATGAAGAACTAGACAACTGGTGAGAGAGAAAGGTTTCATGAAGGACTGCTTTTAGCTCTAGTGCCCGTACCACTGGACATGAGCACACAAAGCACTTCCAGGAACTAGTTAATTCTCTCATGTGCCTCAGTGAAGAACGTAGGCATCAGCCATGCCAAATTAATATTCAAAATTTTTGCTGTAGTACATATGTTGGGTTCATTCATTATAAGGAGCATTTTACTTGAGAAGTGTTATACAAATTGTGATGCCTTGGGTGGATGCAACCAGTTCTTTAAATTTTAAACAACAAACACTTCTTGTTGCTACAGGTGATATATCTGTGTACCATTTTACCTTATCTTCAGTTACTTTAATGAGTTGCGAGGTATAAACTAAAAACAGTTAAAAAACTAAAGATGTTTATATTCATATAAGGAAGGATTATGTTCCAGCATTTTTATTTAATATGGTTTTCACGTACACAGCAAAACATCAGTCTATCAAATCTTTGGTCATCCATTCTGACCACAGCGATAACACTGACTTTATTTATATCACAATGGGTGAAGAATTAAAATGGATCCAATCGGCCAAGTACATCTAGAAACGAACAAGGCTGTTGTTACTGTTAATGTCCTAGATACAAATCAGCTGCTGAAATGATCAGATTCGACAGGAGACAGAACAATGCATCTTAACACATGCATTGCCAGGCGAGGATAAACACACCATCAACCCTGATCACAAGGCTCTCTTTTCATTTCACTGCCAAAAGGCAAAGACTTAATGACATTAAGTCTGGCTAGCTGACTTCACAATGGCCATATCTCACTCAATAATCTGCTAAGTGACTTACATAGGCCTCACATTTGACCGCAGGTCATTTCATTTAGGTTTAACAGGATAAAGAGCTTCCGTACTTGTTGGCAAATGATAAGGATTCATGTTCTTGTCAGACAAAAGGAGACGGGTCTTTTTTTTAGTTTAGACAGGAAATATGTGCTATATCATGTTTAGAAAAAGGAAAGAAAAAAACACTTTTGCCATTTGCATTAGCAAGATAAGCCTTTGTGCCATGAGACTGTAGCTCACCTGTATAATTAGCAACAATCTAAAATGTCAACAAAGACAGCTACTTAACAAAAGCTGCTGTCAGTATCGATGTTCAAATATCGTTAAATATGTCATGTGATGTTTCAGCTTCATTGGTCCATTGGTTCACAAGGAGATAATGTTTACAGTGTGAACAAAATTCATTTTGAGAGGATTTAAGAGCATGGTCAAATATTTTTATAGTTCAAAATGTAAAATATCACGAAATATCATGTGGTTGAGCATGTGGTCCCTGCACATGTATAGTTTTCTGCAAAAATATTCATACGGTTGAGAGTGGTGGCTTGGAAACGAAGACATGAGTTTTTTTAGACCAAATTGTTTCCATGGAAACATAACAAAATAAAATTTAGAAAGATTTCAAAATAGCAAAATGTACCAGTTCAGCTGATCAGTCAAGCAAAAGCCAATTTCTTTTTTGAATATGTTGAACAGTTTAAGTTATACTCTCATTTGATACTAAGACAAAATTGTTTCCATGGAATCGTAAAGATATAATTTGGAAATTTTTTGAAATAGCAAAAGGCACCAGTTCATCTGGTGAGTAATGCATATGCCAAGTTCCATGCCTGGATAATGGCCATAAATGGCTTGTTCAAATGGTACCCATATTGAAAATCAAATTTGAACCTCTTGAACAATTTGGGGTGTTATCGTTGGTGGGAACAAGTGTGTGAAGTTTCGGCTGACATGACAGACAAACAGGCCATGACTTTGGCTAAGAGTTAAATGAGCTACCAAATGTGTCAGTTATATGAACTATTTCAATAACTTTTTGTCACCTGTTCTCCAAACATAAAATTTGACAGTTCTCATGGGCCAACAGTTACTCATACTTGACCTGCTTCTGTTCTGACAAGTTAACAGAAAGTCACCAGTCAACAAAAAGATATAATCAAAATGTCTAGAAAAAACAAAGTATACAACCAGTCACACCTACTTTGAGGACTCCCTTCCCAGTGACAATGACGTTACATGGGGTCAAGTCTGTTCACGGTCCAGACCTCATATTTGTGTAAAGAAATCTTTTAGGGAGCAAATAATCACCTTGATATGGTATCAGTAATAAGAATATCCTGGAGATACACCTTGTTAAGATGCAGTAATGGGCAGATTTTTGAAACACACTTTGATACGTCTGATTAGGATGTGTCTATCTCGGAGTATGTAATTTAACACTTTCTTTCAAATCATGAACCACCAGACTCATTATCAAGCAGCTGCAGACAATCAACCCGATTTAAACTGATTTAGACAGCAAAGCAAAGTGCTTCTATCAACATTCAAATTTAAAACAAGTTTACAATTACAATGCATTGAACAAATGATCTAACAGGCCTTTGAACTGACAAACACAATATATCAACACAACTAGTTAACGTAGAGTCGTTCGCAGTCAGGCTTCACTAGCGGGAGTTTTAGCATCTGAAGCTCACATTCTCCTTACTTCTATAGACATGTGACACTTATGTAAGTAGGAACCTTGTTTTACTTACTCAATGTTTACAAGGTGTATGTAGGTGTATCTGTCCTTATACACATTTTACAATCGAAGAATGATTTAACAATTGGACCACCTTTAGATTCAAGGAAGCTCAAACCTAAATATTGCGCTCCAAGACATCTTACACTGGTACTACAAATACCAGGCCAATCATTCCCATGAGTCCATCACCGGCCCATCGCCTACCAGATCAATTATCGTGAAGTGCACGCGAAATTATTTTGATCAAAAACACCCAAGTGACCAGCGGTCAAAAGGGCCGACTTAAACATGATGATCCAACACCCAGGGGAAACCTGGTCATTAAATCACTTGGCAAGATGTGGTCTGGAACTACACATATAGATCAAGGGCTGATCATTCTGATCTCGAGAGACACTTAGCCAAGATTATCTTTACAAAGAGATTCCCCATTTTAATACATTCTTTGCTTTAGAAAAGATTCAGGCCCTTTAGCATGGTTTGTGATTTTGACATTCAGATGTCTGTCTTGGATCTGTGCTGGTCAATATGAAGATTAGTAGAATGTCAAATATAGAGGAACAGCCACACCAGCTTCTTGTCATCAGAGCTGAGAAAAGGCTGTATGATCAAGGTCAAATTATTGTGTGTAGTTTCCGAGACTCAGTGTTCCTCTTGGTTGCTGTTGACTTTTCTGATGATGTGAATGCTAAGCATATGGAAAATAAATTTTCCTTGTTCAAAAGAATGTATTGATAACCATCAAAAAAGGTCCAAGTGAGAAATATTCCTATTGATGAACCAATCTATCTGAATTCAGACATTTGAAGGGTCATCACATGAAAGGTCAATACTGACCATCTGATGAGTCAATATTCGAGGTCAGTGTTGTTAAAGTGATTTGGGGGTCTACTTTGAAATGTATTCTTTCGTCATGTGGTATGGATTAACCAATGCTACTGCAAGATTTTTAATAGACATATTACAATTCATCTTAAACATGGCCTGCATGACCATGAGAATAGATAATAAAACTTTTCCTGGCCCTAATAAAGTTGTACACATTTGAAAGAAATGAACTTTAAGAGAATTTAATTTTTGTCACTTATTATTAATTTGCTGTATTTAACCCATGTCTCTAAACATATGTGCTCATTATTTCTTTACTAACAAATTACAAAATGGACTTGACTTGTAATGCTTCATTTACATATATTAGAAAACCTTTAGGGAACTCCTAATAACTCCATTGAAGTCTTCATCTCAGCTTGCTTGAGGTTCTTCTCACAATCAGCAAGCCATCATCTTCACTACATATTCTGCTCACGCCATTACGACCGGCTACATGCGACGTGAGGTTTACAAGATATCAGTGAATTGGTGGAAGTCAACTTCCTAGTATTGCTGCTTTTATAACTTGCTCTATCAGCCTGGTATTGTCACTAACTGATGGTTTTGATCCATGAGGAAGATGTCTGCTTGTTCTAAATAAATTAAGACCAGTATTCCAGGTTTTGTTTTGTTTGTGATCTTTAGGTTCTTCAAATAAGATTTTGTTTGTTGGTTTGTTGTTTAATGCCGCACTGAGCAATATTCAAGATATAGTGAGTGAGTGAGTGAGTATGGTTTTACACCACTTTTAGCAATATTCCAGCAATATCACGGTAGGGAGGAACCAGAAATGGGATTCATAAGATATATAAGCGGTCTGTAAATAATCGAGTCCGGACCAGACAATCCTGAGATTGACATCATGAGCATCGATCTACGCAATTAGGATACAATGTCATGCATCCACCATGTCATTGAGCCTGACCACCCAATCCTATTGGTCGCTCTTAATGACAAGCATGGGTTGTTGAAGATCAATTCTAACCTGGATTAAAAAAAATAAAATAAATAAAATATAAATTTTAACCAAGATCTTCACAGGTTCTTCAAATAGCAATTGTCACTGACTTCAGATATATGTAAGCCCAGCTTGCATGGCTAACTTACCACGCCCCACCACAGGGCATCAGCAAAGCTGGAGAAACGCTTCTCACTCCCTTCCTTCCCAAGTAATCCTTTGTGGGCATCTTTCTCTGCCAGGTACACGAAGAAGGAGGAGAAGATGAGGCCAAGGACACCAATATACAAAGTGGTCAACAGCTCCTGCAAAAAACACACATATTTAACATTACCAATGTCTTTATTGATAGGCAGTTGGAGTACTAAGTAAGGATAAGAATTTATGGTTGAACAACTTCTTTATTACAAATAAGAGCGGCCTTTCAGTGTAGGTTCTAACACCGTTAATGGCCTGGCACATGGAACCTACAAACAGGATTAGAAGAACAAGTAATGTATTTGTTTTGTAAGGTCAAAAGGAGATTTGTTTGAGCTTCAGTGAGAATCTGAGTGATGAAATGAAACTCCCATAGTCATTTATGCAAAAATTATATGAGATACTCTGTTGCATCTGATTGAACTTTAGTCCTCATTGGTTTGGAATTGTTTTTAAGTCACATAATAAAAGCTTTGTTTTTGTTTCATTCCAACATGGGAAATAACAAATTGATAATAATGTGAATAATCATGAGATCTGGAGTGTGGCACAATTTGCATCCATATTTCATAAGTCACTTGTAAATTAATATTTAGTTACATCAGTCAGAATCTGCAGTGTTACACATGGGCAAGTCATCACCACACACTGTACTTTGATTTCCATTTGCATATACTGTCCGAAAAAGGAAGGTTAGTTTCTTTCTTGTTTTACGCCACACTGAGCAGCTATTTGACCGTGGTCTGTAAATAATCAAGTCTTGGCCAGACAATCCAGTGATTGACATCATGAGAATCGATCTACGCAATAGGAAGGTCTTGCTCTGGACATATTTGTAAATACAGTCCATTTCTGTCATATAATTTGTTGGGAGAAAACAGTTCCATTAAGAGAAATATGGAATTCAAATTATTAAATTTTACAATATGTAAATTACTTAGGAAGAAAGGATTCAAAGGAAGCATTATTTTCTTTTTCTATACTGAGCTCCATTGTGTTTTCTGGTATGCCTGATTCTATATGCAATGAACAGTGTTTTCATCAAGTATTGACACAGATGTTATGCACAGAGCCATATCAAATTCCATCTTCATTTGAACAGACAGATCTCTACATGCAAAATTCATCAACAACCAATATTAAACAAAGAAGTAGACAATTAAGTGGAGGCATCTGGACGTACTAGAATCATTTTTCAAAACAATTCAATCTTCATCTTCATCATTTGCATCAGCAACCACAGCCCAAAACAAGAAATATTTCAAGATACTGTAATCACACAGTGAATATTCCAGAGTGAAGATGCTTAATTCCCCTCACACCAATGCACTAGCTATCACTTGGACTTAGTTACCTCATCCTACCAGGTACCCATGCTGGGAGAACTCCTCCTACCAGGTACCCATGCTGGGAGAACTCATCCTACCAGGTACCCATGCTGGGAGAACTCATCCTACCAGGTACCCATGCTGGGAGAACTCATCCTACCAGGTACCCATGCTGGGAGAACGCGTCCTTCCAGGTACCCATGCTGGGAGAACTCCTCCTACCAGGTACCCATGCTGGGAGAACGCGTCCTACCAGGTACCCATGCTGGGAGAACGCGTCCTACCAGGTACCCATGCTGGGAGAACTCATCCTACCAGGTACCCATGTTGGGAGAACTCATCCTGCCAGGTACCCATGCTGGGAGAACGCGTCCTACCAGGTACCCATGCTGGGAGAACTCATCCTACCAGGTACCCATGTTGGGAGAACTCATCCTGCCAGGTACCCATGCTGGGAGAACGCGTCCTACCAGGTACCCATGCTGGGAGAACTCATCCTACCAGGTACCCATGCTGGGAGAACTCATCCTACCAGGTACCAATGCTGGGAGAACTCATCCTACCAGGTACCCATGCTGGGAGAACTCATCCTACCAGGTACCCATGCTGGGAGAACTCCTCCTACCAGGTACCCATGCTGGTAGAACTGCTCCTACCAGGTACCCATGCTGGGAGAACTCATCCTGCCAGGTACCCATGCAGGGAGAATGCGTCCTACCAAGTACCCATGCTGGGAGAACGCGTCCTACCAGGTACCCATGCTGGGAGAACGCATCCTACCAGGTACCCATGCTGGGAGAACGCGTCTTACCAGGTACCCATGCTGGGAGAATGCGTCCTACCAGGTTCCGGTGCTGGGAGAACTCATCCTGCCAGGTTCCCATGCTGGGAGAATGCGTCCTACCAGGTACCCATGCTGGAAGAACGCATCCTACCAGGTACCCATGCTGGGAGAACACATCCTACCAGGTACCCATGCTGGAAGAACGCATCCTACCAGGTACCCATGCTGGGAGAATGCGTCCTACCAGGTACCCATGCTGGGAGAACATTAATTGCCTAAGGAGACATGTCTTACAGTTTGGGGCAGGACCAAAGCCCTAGAAACTGGCAGGACCAAAGCCCTAGCAACTGGCAGGACCAAAGCCCTAGAAACTGGCAGGACCAAAGCCCTAGAAACTGACAGGACCAAAGCCCTAGAAACTGACAGGACCAAAGCCCTAGAAACTGGCAGGACCAAAGCCCTTGAAACTGGCAGGACCAAAGCCTTAGAAACTGGCAGGACCAAAGCCCTAGAAACTGGCAGGACCAAAGGACCAAATCCCTAGAAACTGACAGGACCAAAGCCCTAGAAACTGGCAGGACCAAAGCCCTAGAAACTGGCAGGACCAAAGCCCTAGAAACTGGCAGAACCAAAGCCCTAGAAACTGGCAGGACCAAAGCCCTAGAAACTGGCAGGACCAAAGCCCTAGAAACTGGCAGGACCAAAGCCTTAGAAACTGGCAGGACCAAAGCCCTAGAAACTGGCAGGACCAAAGCACTAGAAACTGGCAGGACCAAATCCCTAGAAACTGGCAGGACCAAAGCCCTTGAAACTGGCAGGAATCAAGCTGCCAAACATGGCCACCCATCCAACTACTGTCTGTGACTGATGTTGATTAATTTCAACTGACTGTGTGACCTGTGGACTGTAACACAGCACAAGATGCCACTGCACACAATCATCTATGTCATGCTTATTTTATTTCCATCTTCCTGAGGCAAGGGAGTTAACTGACTGTAAAAGTTCAGTTTCCACCCTTGCTGAACTAGGCTGCAATTATGGAGTTGTATTTTGGCAAGGGTGGAAACTGGACTTTTAGAGTCAGTTAACTCCCCTGCCTTGGGAAGATGATTTTATTTCATGTTTTACATATTTCTATGCAAGGTGCAATGAGAAAATAGAGCCACTCGCCTCTGTCGCTCACCTGAGCAATTGCAACAATAGATCATAAACATCAAAATACAATGTTAACAAGAGAATGACTCCTGTGGACATGCAGAGATGAACTCTGGGAAGACAATGACCTATGATATGACTTCAGTTGAAGTTGTCATGGTCATGCATAATATATGACAATTACCTGAAATAATTACTTGAAGTTTTTGAGGTGCTGATGAAATGATTTATTATTCATCTTAACAGATTAGAATTGAAATAAATAGTCCTAAAGATCACTCAATATTTAATGAACATCACCTTCTTCAACCATGACATTTCAAATGTCTATCCACATCCTCTTCTTCATGTATATATATGATTATTTCCTATTTGGCTCAAGATAAGCATGATCACAAAGACACATGAACTGCCGGGCCAAAGAGAGTATAAGTATACACTTGACATCTGATAGGACCAAACGTATTAAAACATTAGTAGTATAGACAATGACAGTTCTGGCTCACTTCCACTGGAGCCAGATTTATATACCTATACTGCTACTACACAGGAATTTTTTATGCAAAAATGATGATGCGCACAAATGATCGTCATGCTAAGCAGTTGCTATATTTTGCTAAGCAGTTGCTATATTTTGCTACGCAGTTGCTATATTTTGCTGGTGAGCTAGAGCCAATTTAGCTTAATCTCATGACGATCATCAATTTTGCATAAAACATTCCTGTGTAGTAGCAGTATAGGTATAAAAATCTGGCTCCAGTGGAAGTGAGCCAGAACTGTCATTGTCTATACTACTACTACGTATGCAGGCTGAAAACAGTCACCGAAATACAACAATCATACCCATACAAATACATCACCATCGAATATCCATTTCTTGATTGTTTCATCTTTAGCTAACATGGAACATACTTTATTGCCTCTGTTGTATTAGTTTCTTGACTGTTTTTTTTAACATAGAAAACACTACACCCCACTGGGCCTTAGTGTTTGTTTGTTTGTTGGTTGGTTACTTAAAACAGCAATCAACAATTTTCCACATATATGACAGCAGTCTGTAAATAATCAAATCTGGACCAGACAACCACGAGCATGGATCCATGCAACGGATATAAGATGACATGCAATCAACCTAGTACTGAATCTGAATCTAACTGCCCAGGTTGCTGGAGACCTATATTCTCACCTCATGGGTGTAAAGTGTCAATAGCAAAGACATCAGTACATTTCATGTGTGAGTCATTTTGACTTTGCCTGATTGACACTAATTCTGACCCGAGTTCAATAAATTCAGTATGATACAAACACACTCATGTAATCATCTCTAAATATGATTTCTGAAACGAATTGATACACTCAATTCACAAGCTATCAACAAGTTGTCTTATTTCCATATCTGAAAAAGATCAGTCTGGGGCTTGGCAGCCTTCAATCCAATATTGGCAACAGTCTCAATAAGGTACAGTAAATTATGCTTATAACGAACACGCTTATAACAAACAGACAGATATGACAAACTTATTTTTTGTTTCCAACCATTTGTGTATATATGCTGTATATATGCTTATAATGAACTATGGTTATACCGAACTAGAATTAGTGGCCCCTTTGAGTTTGTTACCATAGTTTACTGTAGTTCTTAACATCTGCATAGTTTGATGTGTGTTTCAATAATTAAACATCTTCCTGAGTCAAGGGTGTTAACTGTCTAAAAAAGTCCAGTTTCCACCCTTGCCGAACTAGGCTGGAATTCCGGAGTTATATTTTGGCTGGACAAACGAGTCAATGCATTGTCCAATCAACATTGCGTAGCTAACAAGACATCTGGTTTGTAAACAACATGGATTTCAATGTGCAGATTTCAGTCGACTACAGGATTTGCATAGCATGTGTAAATCTTTTCAGGTTTTAAATCAAGGTGCTCAAGTGATCTGATGCACTTAATGAGTTAAGACCCGTTTTATTAAAATATAGATCTTGATTATCGATCAGATTGTCTTGACTGGGCATCACCATCTTGTTTGAAGCAAATGCAAGTGATATGAGAGGGGGAATCTGATTGGTCAATAGGAGGACACAGAAGGGACATAACTTGTAATAGCCACTGGTGGTGCTACGACCAGGCCTGGAACTTCAGTCTGGTTCATTGGTGGAAACTTGACTTTTATAGTCAGTTAACACCCTCGCCTTGGGAAAATGTAATTAAACAGTTCATTAACTGTTCAGGACATATAAACACTTTGTTGTCGATAGTGTATCAGTCTGAGTCTAGATGATATTATGGTGCTCGTGGGAAACTGAGACCGGGTCACAGTATTATTAGGGTAATTACAATGTGAGGTGAAATGATGCTAATGTGACATTCAGTATTATGTGTGTGTAGGTGTACAAGTCTGGTTTAATGGGTCGTATAGTGCTAGCCCAGCGAGATACCCTGCCGGAGGTTTTAACATGGACACCTGACAAAGACGCTGCATACTACCTCCGAGCTGACCACTCTTTGTTTTATCCCATTAATGCTGAATGCCAGGCAGGGTAACAACAAGTACCATCTTTTAGCATCTTTTGGTATGATGCGGTTGGAGATGGAACCCCCAACCTTCCGTTGTTCGGACGGACACTCTTCCGCTAGACCACGGAGGCGGTCCGGGTAATCATTAACTGATAGTAGGATACATCATGTGTATAAGCAGGCAACCAAAGTAGGTGGCACGTGGTCCTGTTTAGAGCACACAGGTAAAAAGTCAGTTGAAGCGAAGCAATGTTGGGTGGAGGAAGTTGGCTAAATTGGTGACCGAGTTCAGAAGCTTGTCTCCTGATAGTTTCCAGAGCTTTGGTCCTGCCCCACACTGAAGTAGATGTTACATGTAGTGCCTCCTCAGGCAAGAGACACTTTTAAATGTTTACAATGTTCACACAGCAGTGAATGGGTACCTGGTAGGATGAGATGGTCATTTGACTGTACACATCCTATTGCCTCATACAGCAGAGTGGGTTGTATACTCCCAAGGGAGCTGAGAATGAAACTTGAGTGCAAAGTGATCCAGAGGGTAGTAATAACATAGCGCCATGGTAAATGGAATCTGGTGCTCTATCGATGGACAAGGTCTGCTAGGACTACCAACTGTCCTTGATCCCTTTTTAACCCATCATAATGTATGCTGCCATGTGGCAGGCCATGTGTTGCTTAGCATTTAACAAATGACATTTAGTTTCGCAAAATGTCATGTAAAAGTCAACACTCCAACATGTGACAATCTTTATTTCTTATTTCTATTATTTTCAAAAGCACACTGAACATCAATTGTGATTGATGAGGAGACATAAGAAGCAAGAATTCTAAGATTGTGGAAGCATGAAATATATAAAGAAATGTTATATAAATATATAAAAATTCTGAGTATGTAAAGAAACATAAAATGCATACTGTGTTAATAACAAAGTTCAGATATTTTAAGACATATTTACATAACCTTTATATAAATTATTACTTGCCAGTTTAACTTTGTTTCTCAAAACTTTCAGTCTTAACTTAAAGACAACAGGATCAATTTCATATTTAATGTATCAGAGATTTACAAGATTACAGGCCTTTTATTACGGTGATGTTTGCATGGTGACATAGTGAGAAGTGAGTGCATGCGTCTATAAAAATTATTTATCATATCTGATTTATGAATGCATGTTATCACTACATTGACACATTTTAGTATAGTTGAAGGATGAATATTTACAATTGCAAAATGCAAAATAAAACAAACTTTTGATATAAAATAAAGATAACCAAAACTGCATATGAAAAAGAATTGACAATAATCATATCTTAAATCATGAATGATTAACTATTAAGAGTTTGGCAAATCAGGTGACAGGTGATCTCATCAATGGATGATCATCTTTGATCCCTGCTGTTGTCTCATGCAGTACAACTTAGTGCTACACCTCTGTCTACCCCCATAATACATAACTACCATTTCTAATTTAATTGGGGGCACGGGTGGCCCAGTCGTCTAAGGCGCCACGATTCGCTGTACAGAGTTGCGTCCCTTGGGCACACCAGAAACCTATGATTGTGGGTTGAATCCCGGTTCGCCCCGATTATGTTTCTAGGTTTGTCAGCACCATACCCGTGCTCGTGGGTTTCATCAAAGTGGTAAACGTGCATCACTTCAGGCTTTCCTCCCACATTAAGCTGACACGCCGCGATATAACTGGAATATACTGTTAAAAGCGGCATTAAACCCAACTCACTCACTCTAATTTAATGCTATTACTTCTGCATGTCCTTTCATGGATTAATTCAAGACTTCCTTAAATTTGAGCCCTGTTTTATCCTGTGTCAGTGACCTTGACTTTATATGAAAGTTATCCAAAGTTGATGCGATCAAGACCTTGCCCAAAAATTTGGTACATTAAGTTTTGTCAAACTCCAATCATAAATACCTGTTATCACACAAGCGTTTTTGATGCCTTGTTCATATTGAGTAACCTAGACCTGCAATGTCATGCAGTGATACGTCAGAATTTTTTTCTAGGAATATATATGTGACGTCTCTTAACAGCTATCATAAACATGTGTTCAAGTAAGCGTTGTTGTATATTATTACTACCCTTTGGATCAATTTGCACTCAAGACTCAAATTTTAGTGATCACATGAAGCAGCCCTTCTTAGATGATAAAAAAATAAATTTATTTGGCAAACATGAAAAGAGCTCTGCAAGGAATGCTCACCTGTCTGTGAGCCCATACCACAGACCCAAGCAGTTTCCATGTACCTCCACGTCGATCCATCCGGACAAGACGCAGGATCTGGAAGAACCGAAAACCTCGGAGAGAGGAAGTAGCAAACATGTCCTGGGTGCTGCCAACAATCAGAGACACCAGGCTGGCCAGCAGCAGAATGACATCTACAATCAAACAAGAAACCTGTCAGTTCCTTCATGAAATATCTTAAATCTATAATACAATAATAATATCATCTAAAATACAACAATCACAGACACCAGGCTGGCCAGCAGCAGAATGACATCTACAATCAAACAAGAAACCTGTCAGTTCCTTCATTAAATATCTTAAATCTATAATACAATAATAATATCATCAATAATACAACAATCACAGACACCAGGCTGGCCAGCAGCAGAATGACATCTACAATCAAACAAGAAACCTGTCAGTTCCTTCATGAAATATCTTAAATCTATAATACAATAATAATATCATCTAAAATACAACAATCACAGACACCAGGCTGGCCAGCAGCAGAATGACATCTACAATCAAACAAGAAACCTGTCAGTTCCTTCATGAAATATCTTAAATCTATAATACAATAATAATATCATCTAAAATACAACAATCACAGACACCAGGCTGGCCAGCAGCAGAATGACATCTACAATCAAACAAGAAACCTGTCAGTTCCTTCATTAAATATCTTAAATCTATAATACAATAATAATATCATCAATAATACAACAATCACAGACACCAGGCTGGCCAGCAGCAGAATGACATCTACAATCAAACAAGAAACCTGTCAGTTCCTTCATGAAATATCTTAAATCTATAATACAATAATAATATCATCTAAAATACAACAATCACAGACACCAGGCTGGCCAGCAGCAGAATGACATCTACAATCAAACAAGAAACCTGTCAGTTCCTTCATGAAATATCTTAAATCTAGAATACAATAATAATATCATCTAAAATACAACAATCAGAGACACCGGGCTGGCCAGCAGCAGAATGACATCTACAATCAAACAAGAAACCTGTCAGTTCCTTCATTAAATATCTTAAATCTATAATACAATAATAATATCATCTAAAATACAACAATCACAGACACCAGGCTGGCCAGCAGCAGAATGACATCTACAATCAAACAAGAAACCTGTCAGTTCCTACATGAAATATCTTAAATCTATAATACAATAATAATATCATCTAAAATACAACAATCACAGACACCGGGCTGGCCAGCAGCAGAATGACATCTACAATCAAACAAGAAACCTGTCAGTTCCTTCATTAAATATCTTAAATCTAGAATACAATAATAATATCATCTAAAATACAACAATCACAGACACCAGGCTGGCCAGCAGCAGAATTACATCTACAATCAAACAAGAAACCTGTCAGTTCCTTCATGAAATATCTTAAATCTATAATACAATAATAATATCATCTAAAATACAACAATCAGAGACACCAGGCTGGCCAGCAGCAGAATGACATCTACAATCAAACAAGAAACCTGTCAGTTCCTTCATGATATATCTTAAATCTATAATACAATAATAATATCATCTAAAATACAACAATCACAGACACCAGGCTGGCCAGCAGCAGAATGACATCTACAATCAAACAAGAAACCTGTCAGTTCCTTCATGAAATATCTTAAATCTAGAATACAATAATAATATCATCTAAAATACAACAATCAGAGACACCAGGCTGGCCAGCAGCAGAATGACATCTACAATCAAACAAGAAACCTGTCAGTTCCTTCATGATATATCTTAAATCTATAATACAATAATAATATCATCTAAAATACAACAATCACAGACACCAGGCTGGCCAGCAGCAGAATGACATCTACAATCAAACAAGAAACCTGTCAGTTCCTTCATGAAATATCTTAAATCTATAATACAATAATAATATCATCTAAAATACAACAATCACAGACACCAGGCTGGCCAGCAGCAGAATGACATCTACAATCAAACAAGAAACCTGTCAGTTCCTTCATGAAATATCTTAAATCTATAATACAATAATAATATCATCTAAAATACAACAATCAGAGACACCAGGCTGGCCAGCAGCAGAATGACATCTACAATCAAACAAGAAACCTGTCAGTTCCTTCATGATATATCTTAAATCTATAATACAATAATAATATCATCTAAAATACAACAATCACAGACACCAGGCTGGCCAGCAGCAGAATGACATCTACAATCAAACAAGAAACCTGTCAGTTCCTTCATGAAATATCTTAAATCTAGAATACAATAATAATATCATCTAAAATACAACAATCAGAGACACCAGGCTGGCCAGCAGCAGAATGACATCTACAATCAAACAAGAAACCTGTCAGTTCCTTCATGATATATCTTAAATCTATAATACAATAATAATATCATCTAAAATACAACAATCACAGACACCGGGCTGGCCAGCAGCAGAATGACATCTACAATCAAACAAGAAACCTGTCAGTTCCTTCATGAAATATCTTAAATCTATAATACAATAATAATATCATCTAAAATACAACAATCAGAGACACCAGGCTGGCCAGCAGCAGAATGACATCTACAATCAAACAAGAAACCTGTCAGTTCCTTCATGATATATCTTAAATCTATAATACAATAATAATATCATCTAAAATACAACAATCAGAGACACCGGGCTGGCCAGCAGCAGAATGACATCTACAATCAAACAAGAAACCTGTCAGTTCCTTCATGAAATATCTTAAATCTATAATACAATAATAATATCATCTAAAATACAACAATCACAGACACCAGGCTGGCCAGCAGCAGAATGACATCTACAATCAAACAAGAAACCTGTCAGTTCCTTCAAGAAATATCCTAAATCTATAATACAATAATAATATCATCTATAATACAACAATCACAGACACCGGGCTTGCCAACAGCAGAATAAAATCTACAACCAAACACGCAGCCTGTCAGTTCCTTCAAGAAATATCTTAAATCTATAATACAATAATAATATCATCAATAATACAACAATCACAGACACTGGGCTTGCCAACAGCAGAATGAAATCTACAACCAAACACGCAGCCTGTCAGTTCCTACAAGAAATATCTTAAATCTATAATACAATAATAATATCATCAATAATACAACAATCACAGACACCGGGTTTGCCAGCAGCAGAATGACATCTACAATCAAACAAGAAACCTGTCAGTTCCCTCATGAAATATCTTTAATCTCAGTTCCTTCATGAAATATCTTAAATCTATAATACAATAATAATATCATCTAAAATACAACAATCACAGACACCAGGCTGGCCAGCAGCAGAATGACATCTACAATCAAACAAGAAACCTGTCAGTTCCTTCATGAAATATCTTAAATCTATAATACAATAATAATATCATCTAAAATACAACAATCACAGACACCAGGCTGGCCAGCAGCAGAATGACATCTACAATCAAACAAGAAACCTGTCAGTTCCCTCATGAAATATCTTTAATCTCAGTTCCTTCATTAAATATCTTAAATCTATAATACAATAATAATATCATCTAAAATACAACAATCACAGACACCAGGCTGGCCAGCAGCAGAATGACATCTACAATCAAACAAGAAACCTGTCAGTTCCTTCATGAAATATCTTAAATCTATAATACAATAATAATATCATCTAAAATACAACAATCACAGACACCAGGCTGGCCAGCAGCAGAATGACATCTACAATCAAACAAGAAACCTGTCAGTTCCTACATGAAATATCTTAAATCTATAATACAATAATAATATCATCTAAAATACAACAATCACAGACACCAGGCTGGCCAGCAGCAGAATGACATCTACAATCAAACAAGAAACCTGTCAGTTCCTTCATGAAATATCTTAAATCTAGAATACAATAATAATATCATCTAAAATACAACAATCACAGACACCAGGCTGGCCAGCAGCAGAATGACATCTACAATCAAACAAGAAACCTGTCAGTTCCTTCATGAAATATCTTAAATCTATAATACAATAATAATATCATCTAAAATACAACAATCACAGACACCAGGCTGGCCAGCAGCAGAATGACATCTACAATCAAACAAGAAACCTGTCAGTTCCTTCATGAAATATCTTAAATCTATAATACAATAATAATATCATCTAAAATACAACAATCACAGACACCAGGCTGGCCAGCAGCAGAATGACATCTACAATCAAACACGCAGCCTGTCAGTTCCTTCAAGAAATATCTTAAATCTATAATACAATAATAATATCATCAATAATACAACAATCACAGACACTGGGCTTGCCAACAGCAGAATGAAATCTACAACCAAACACGCAGCCTGTCAGTTCCTACAAGAAATATCTTAAATCTATAATACAATAATAATATCATCAATAATACAACAATCACAGACACCGGGTTTGCCAGCAGCAGAATGACATCTACAATCAAACAAGAAACCTGTCAGTTCCCTCATGAAATATCTTTAATCTCAGTTCCTTCATTAAATATCTTAAATCTATAATACAATAATAATATCATCAATAATACAACAATCACAGACACCAGGCTGGCCAACAGCAGAATGAAATCTACAACCAAACAAGCAGCCTGTCAGTTCCTTCATGAAATATCTTAAATCTCAGTTCCTTCATGAAATATCTTAAATCTATAATACAATAATAATATCATCTATAATACAACAATCAGAGACACCGGGCTGGGCAGTAACAGAATGACTTTCCAATACAACAGTCTGTCAGTCTCTTCCTGAGACAGTCAGCACCTAAAGTTTAAAGGCCACTATGTGACTTCAGGAATGACTCCTTGTATCTTATGCTTGTCACAAGATCTGACTAACATGGACATCTGGTGGTCATGCAGGCTCTTTGATCTGGCTCATTGTGTGTCAGTATACCCTGATGACTGGGAAAGCTGATTGACCGCTAGCCCGTCTGACCCAGCATAGATTATTCAACCATCATTTAACTGGAAAAAACATGCAGTTGTTTGTTGTTTAATGATGAACTCAGCTATATTCCAGCTACTTCAAGACGGTACATGAAGGTGGTCTGTAAATAATTGATTCTGGATCAGACAATCCAGTGATGGACATCATGAGCATTTTTCTACATAACTGGTTTATAATGACAAGTATATAATTATCAAGTCAGAGAGCTTGACCACCAGATCCCTTTAATAGCCTGAGACTTACGACAAGCATGGGTTGCTGGAGACCAATTCCTTCCTTGGGAAAAGTTTGTTGTAATTTATCAGGACAAAAATATGGGTTAAGAATAAATTTATCAACTAATTTGCACACAATAAGTCATCATATACATAACATCACATGATATCATGTCTGACCACTAGTGATAACATTTGACCCACCTATTAAGCAGAGAGGTCTTCTCATGAACTTGAGTCTACCCATGCATCCCTGGTACCGGGACCGACACCCAGAGGACCACAGACGTAGACAGAACTCCATGGCGATCCACACCAGCAGCACCACTTCCTGGAATACACAAATCAACACTCCACAATTACAGTCTGTCTAGTCAGTTCTGTAGAATATAGCATTTAATCTTGAGATATTCCAGCTAACATGGCAAAACATTCCCAATCTGTCTGAGGCATTAATTATTCTGGAGAATAAATGGGGCTAGAGAGGGTGATAGCTTTTGCTGAGAAATACTTAATGTGGGTCGCAAAGTGTCTGTATCCTGAAAGAAACATGCAACAAGTTTCCAGTTTCATGAGTTCCTACATACATCAGCAGCATTAAGTGATATTGGTCTAACGACTAAAAACACTTATATAATTAGGAGATAAACATACCGGTACTGTGTTTTCAATGTAGAGCAAGGTGACCTGTAGATTTAACCTCGCTAAATTGAATTTGGAAACGAATGCACAGCGTGAGGTTTCAAATGTTAAATTTAGCGTGGTTAAATCAACAGGTAACCTAGCTCTACGTTGAAAACACAGTACGTTTATCTCCATTCTACCATGACTAAATAAAACTCAAACTCTTTTGTGCTAGCAAAATATATTGAGTGAAGCGGCATGGGTTGAGTTCAGTGTTTTGAGTGGGTTGTCGATGTGAATTACGGATTCGCCGCCAACAGTCTTTAAACAAAATATGGCGTATATGCCCAGGCAGTTTGTTTACACCATAATACTTCACTCAAACATATGACAGGCATTGAAAGCATATAAGCACAGCAACTTGGAAAGCTTTCGTTCTACACCGAATGTCACCATTATGACGTCATATTGCTCATTATGACACAAAAGATATCACATCACAGTTGTACATAGAAAATCGCCAATTCCAAGCTCTTTGTTGTCTCCAAAACATAAATACATTCACTTTGTAGATTTCTATTGTGTTTTCTGCATGAAATGTATTGCCACACATTCTTTGAATATTGCAGTAACCGCAACTTTGCATTTTGTAACCTTATATTGTTGATATAATTATTTAAATATACCTACCGACAATGACTGAAAAAAGGACTATTAGATGAATATTAGCTTCTGCGGTGATGCAGCTGTCAAACCAGCTGTTTCAATCAAAGGGGGCGTTATTGTGATTTAATAGCCCCTGACTGACCAATCAGAATCGAGTAGTTTCCAAATTCATGGTAGAATTAATATTTAATTGGCAGAAAACATCAAACGTGCAACACAGATCATATAAAATATTGGATAGTTTTGCTTATTACATTTTGGCTCACAATGCACAAGATCTATGTCAGGCTGGTCACAAGACTGATATGCTATTTTATCTGAGTAGCAGTTTCCTCAAAACTGAAATTGATTTGATAAATGTATCTACAAAAAATAGAATAAACATGTCACAAAGCGGAGAATATAACTGATTACGTTTTACATGTTCAACAGTTTTGAAGCATTCAGTTTGCAGTGAAGTAAAATCCTTCCAACTTCTTGGATGGAGCAAGTGAGAAAGACCAACAATTATCAAAATGTCAACGTTTTCTGATCTGACTTCTATCTCTGTTACAGCAACTGTCAAAGTTAACTTCTTACATTATTATTTACTGATATACCTGTCATTTTTGAATAGATCTTCCACTTCCACCACACCACACCACACACTTCTACACATATACATACACACCAAATATCCCATCAGAGATATTTGGCGTGACTGGTGTGATTGTGGTGTTGTGCAAAGTTATCCGTGTGAAGACAGATTTTGAGTGTAGGTAAACTGTATGTAGGCAGATTTTGAGTGTAGGTAAACTGTATGTAGGCAGATTCTGAGTGTAGGTAAACTGTATGTAGGCATATTTTGAGTGTAGGTAAACTGTATGTAGGCAGATTTTGAGTGTAGGTAAACTGTATGTAGGCAGATTTTGAGTGTAGGTAAACTGTTTGTAGGCAGATTGTGAGTGAGGTAAACTGACATATTTAGGAGAACTGTAGGCATATTTTGAGTAGGTAAACTGTATGTAGGCAGATTGTGAGTGAAGATAAACTGTATGTAGTCAGATTTTAAGTGTACCGTATATCGCTGTGTATAAAGCGACCCCACGTATAAGACGACCCCCCTGTACATGCCTTAAAAATCAACCCAAAATCCTATACTCCGTGTATAAGGTGACCTGGAATGAAACACATCACAAGTCTGACTGATATACCGGTAGAAGATTTAACGTGCTCTTGCCGACTGTAGCGTATTTCGCACACGGACATCACAAATTAGTTAGTTAGTTACTTTGGAGATTTAATGTGCTTATTTCGCACACATCACAAGTGCGCACACAAACCTTATATATGCAATAAAAATATGTTTATCTTGCGTTGTTTTTTTTCTACAATGATAGGTCGCGTGTGTAACTCCAGCACACGTCGCCATTTTGTGTTTACACGGTACGACACCAAATTGGTGCCCGTAAAATAAAATTCATTTATGAAGTAATAACATATAAGAGACAATTGTGAGTAATTTAATCGCCAATTAACTATGTTGTAACTAACTAGGCTTATGTTTGCTTCACATTCAGCGTGTTTATTCCACAATCACGTGTACACACCGTCTCCAACACTTGTTAATACAACTGTAAAAACAGCGGGAATTGATTTCAGCTTCACCGGTTATCACATGTTAGGTCACATGTGCAATATGCAAATGATTACCGGTACTTCCGGCTCTCTACTCACGGATGTTGATTGTTTTACCGTGTCAGCTGGTTTGACAATCTGCATCGAGGAGAGGGTCATTTCAACTTTATTTGCAGAAATTATTAAACTTTATTCAAGGAAAAGAGATACAAATCATGTTTATGTATGGAAATAGTTATTGGAACAGTTATTTAGGACAAAATGCGAAGTTTTATTGTCAAATGCTGGGCTGGCTATCGGACGCCGGTTGACATCGCTAGTGGAAAAAAATGTGAGATCTTCGACTCCGTGTATAAGACGACCCCCCTTCTTAGCCCCCTCATTTTAGGTACGAAAAACTCGCCTTATACACAGCGATATACGGTAGTTAAACTGTATGTAGGCAGATTTTGAGTGTAGGTAAACTGTATGTAGGCAGATTTTGAAACTGTTTGTAGGCAAATTTTGAGAGTAGGTAAACTGTATGTAGGCAAATTTTGAGTGTAGGTAAATTGTATATAGGCAGACTTTGAGTGTAGGTAAACTGTATGTAGGCAAATTTTGAGTGTAGGTAAACTGTATGTAGGCAGATTTTGAGTGTAGGTAAACTATATGTAGGCATATTTTGAGTGTAGGTAAACTGTATGTAGGCAGCTTTTGAGTGTAGGTAAACTATATGTAGGCATATTTTGAGTGTAGGTAAACTGTATGTAGGCATATTTTGAGTGTAGGTAAACTGTTTGTAGGCAGACTTTGAGTGTAGGTAAACTGTATGTAGGCAGATTGTGAGTCTAGGTTAACTGTATGTAGGTAGATTTTGAGTGCAGGTCAACTGAGTGTAGCCAGTTGTAGGCAGATAGAAAAGACACTGGGCTACCATTGCCTCCTCTCTGATTGCATGTACAAGAGTACTCAAGCCAGTAGTTGGTATAATGGACTCAAGTTTACTAAATGTGCTTTCGTCTAAGTACCCTCTCTGTAATGACAGATTGACAGACTCTCTACTATATAGATACATGTTGTTCACACCAAAATGCATCTTAAGTGCCCTTGTCCTTTCTACAAATGTCAGAGGATAGAGTGTACCAAGTAATAAAAGAGTTTTACAGTATCTACCTCATACTCAGACTAAACATACCACAATCAACCATTTTATATCATGCCATGGTCATGAAATGTCTGAAATAATACAATTATTGAATTTTTGAGTTAAGGAAGTCACTCTTGGAGCAGATATGACAGACACAGTGCCATTAATTAAAGATTACAAATTCTCTTGCCTGCAATATATAATCGATCATTAAGCAATTACAAAACACATTATTCGAAACTCTTTATGAAATCAACTTTTTAAGACATTAGTTTATAACATTACCGCAGGCTTTTGCAAATTAGGTTTCAATTCAAATATGTAGAGAATCCTTTATTACCAGATTTCGAATTATACTTTTCCTGTGAGACAAAGTTGAAAAATATTCTCTGCCTAGTGTTGTCAAAATCAATTTATAAATTCAGTTAGCATCAGAGTGAACAAAAAGTTGGTCAGTTTAATGATCAGGGATTTCACCCAGTCGAGGAAGTTACAACAATTACATTGCTCTAAATGCTTGGGGAACTTTCTTGGAAACGCCTTGGGGACAATTTTGAAAGACAGGAAATTAAAAAGAATCTTCCAAGTTCTCTCATTATTCATATTATAAAACTGACTGGTAAAATTAATGTTTGGTTGGTTATTCATACAAGGAAACATGTTTCAGGTAATATCCTTCACTTGAAACACAATGACCCTGCATGAAAGTTTTTACAAATTCTGCTGTTACGGCTTGGAAATTGAATCCGAGCAGCTTGAAACTATTTAAGGCATCATTGGTAGAGGTAAGCAAACCGAGGTTCATTGTTGCACTGGACTGATCCTAGAGGAAACACTGTTCATAAAGGACACTGGCTTCATACATGTAGAGGTTGGACCTCACCTCTATTGTCTGACCTCACAACCATGGATGGATGAAGCTTAAAATGGCAGAAACATCAGTTATGTAGAACTGAATGTCTGAATCATAAAAATAGAGCAGGACATCTGAATTGTGTAGAACTGAACATCTGAATCATGGAAAGCTGACACCTGATTTGTATAGTGCTGAACATCTGAATCATGGAGAGCTGAACATCTTAATTGTGGTAGAACTGAACATCTGAATCATGGAGATCGAGCTGAACATCTGAATTGTGTAGAACTGAACATCTGAATTGTGTAGAACTGAACATCTGAATCATGGAAAGCTGAACATCTGAATTGTATAGTGCTGAACATCTGAATTGTGTAGAACTGAACATCATAATCATGGAGAGCTGAACATCTGAATTGTGTAGAACTGAACATCTTAA